GGGGTGGGAAGACCTGCGAGGAGCCCAGGCTGCCAGCTTCATCCCTGGGGAGGAGCAGAGGCTCTGGCCCAGCTGGTTCTTCGAAAACCTCAAGGGTGGGCACCTGGTGGCTCCAAGTGGCTCCTCAGCTTAATTACTTAATCACACCCCGCGAGTAATCAATCAACCCACGAGTATTTAACCATAGCACGCTAGAGTGAGCCTGCGAGTTGGAGGTGGGCCTGGTGCGAGCTGGAGGTGTTTTTAACTTGGCTCTTAGGTTAGAATGGAGATTCCGCTTAGTGCGTATCCATAAAAGTATTATTTAATAATTCATCTTCTAAAAGATCAGAATCTTTACAGCCGACTAATGAGGTAACCTGTTCACAAGGCACACAATCAGGTAGATTGTCATTTGGGTTCTCCCCGAATGACAGTTTGCTAGTATACAGGTATTTTATGCAGTGTCACCAGAAACAGCTCTGTGATCATTGCGTGATTCTTGATAATAAAATGATGTATGTGTGTACATATTTTGGAGCTGGTGGTTTGGGGCAGCAGTACTTAGTAATCTATGCTATCCAGATAATATTTGCTGATGATGGTTCATTTAGTGATGAAATATTTGAAACCTGGAAAATGATCTTGAGTAGAAAGGCAGGTGGTTCAAATAGCAGATGGCAGACAGACCCTTGCACCTGGCAATTCCGATTTGAGGCCCTTTTGGTTTTTCTATGGGTACTCCTCTAATAGGATAATAAAGCCCAGTTAAGCTTGGCATTGTGCATTTTAGAGATAAGGTTTCCATGGTATAGCCTTTCTTCCACTTTATTTATTTTTTTTTTACTGCCTGATTTGATATAATTATGGAAGCATTTTGATATTTTGTCCCCAGTAGAGGGAGTTGTAAAGCTACTATTTGTTCACCTTTAATATTATTTGACCTATTTAGTGGAAATTTCTTGTCATCACCCAAGAAAATCAAAGAAACAAATGGCTGAGTATTCATATTTTTCTGATATATTTCTTTAGCAACTTTTTATACTTTATCTAGATTGGGCCTTTGAATGTTTCCCATAACATACAGGTATTTTTCAAGGACTGTTGCAATGGGAACAAACACATTGGGTTCTGGCAGCCTGAAGTTTGTATACCAACAGGTAGAAGTAAGTGTCTCCCAGGGATGATTAAATGTCCCGTGGAAGAAAATAGGTGTGGAAATGGAGAGGTTCAGGAAATGGAGACAGCTCTGGGGC